CTGCGAGCAGTTTGCTTAACCTCCGTGCCAACCCCTTTCCTTACGGGGCTCTAACTTTCCTGGGTTAAAAAACAGCCCCAACTACCAGATCCCCAGATGCCAGACATCTAGGGATGGCTCCTTCCTCCTTGGGCCTGCAGATTATTCAAAATAATCTACAGGAAGCCCTCAAAACCTAGCTAACTCCACCAGCTTGCCATATACAAGCTTCCTCCTTCATTTCCAGCTGGCTGTTATGTTACCCTTTTCCCCAGGTGCAATCCATTGTGTGGCTCTGCAGGGCCGTCTTCTATCCTTCAGAGCTGTAAGTAATAAAGAGTTCTTCCTTTCACCTACCTGGGGGTCATTTTATTGTGCCCCCCCATCATCAGAACCTATCATGTGTTAAAACACAGCTGTTACCTTATAATTTATAAAGATTGTGAGATAATGCATGCAATTTGCTGAGCTCACTGCCTAGCACATATATGTGTTTTTTTCTTCCTTCCCATCAATTCTTTTATCCATGTGGAACTCCTTTTCAGGCTACAAGATGTGAGACCTCCATGGCATTATGGGGAGCAGAACTAGAAAAGAAAAACAACAAAGTCTTGGTTTCTAAATTCACTATTTAGAAAAGTAGTGATTAGCTAGAACCCATTATTCACAATACTCTTCTTCCCCTCAACAGTTTCTCTTTTCAATCTATAAAGTTCCTCTGGCCTGGGTAGGAAGAATGAAAATGTAAAGAAAAATGCCAGATTCTGGTGAGTGTCCATGAATACATGACTTTTTTCTCGATCCTTCCCTGGGTTAAGTTTGGGAATGCAAACTATTCCCCACATTCTTCTGGAAACTTGAGAGTTGGCCTCACGGTTTCGTTTGTCTTTGGATTGGGAGCAATGTTATAGATGGGAAGCTGCAGGTAGCAGGACCAAGTTTTCAGAGCCCAAAAGTAGTGTGAACAGGCAAATTTTACTGTTTCTTCTAGAAAGTTCCAGGGCTTTGCTGGAGGGCATGTGGACCACAGACACATTAAGGTTTATGAGAGTGGAATGTGTGTTAGACCAAATGGCTGGTTATCTACTAGATGGAAGGTAGACATGCCAATGGAAGACAAAGTAGAAGAGTGACAATTACCAACAATCAGAGCTGCAGTGTATATCCTGACAGATGTCATCATCAGATATCAGCCAAGGACTAGACATTTTCTTTCAATGTCAAAATGCTACATCAGCCACGTGTCAGCCATATGTATGTTCACTCAATATCTATGTGCTCCCACAGATCCCTTGTACTTGCACAGGACCAGGTGACCACTTTGAACCAAGATAATATGAGCAGGAGTCATATATCACTTTTAGGCTGCTGCAGTGAAAATTCCCTGTTTGGCCCTCCAACATTCTTTTCTCTGTTACAGTGATCATGGAGGTAACATGGTGAGGTAGATGAGCCACAAGATATAGGTAGGCTGGTCTCCTGATGCATCATTTTGAAGGAAGCCATCAGACCCATAGTAGAAATAAGCCAGTGATATTTCAGGGTTAATTTATCATCACTCCAGAGCTTTGCAAATCGTTGGTAATATATGCTCAGAACTTAGATGCCACCTCTGAAATGATGAGGAAAAACTCTTAACTGGCTGAATATATTCCAAATTGATTCTAAAAAATGTGCTCAGTTTATGTTTTCAACATCTAGGTGAACTGGAAATTTGGGAAAGGCACTAAGTTTTGTTAAAAAGAAAAATAAAATTACATTTACTGTACATTTGAGTTTAAATGTGTGAGGAAAAACCACAACTTCCACATCATTATTAATATTAATATTATAAGATTACTGCAATATGCATATAGCATAGGGAATAAAGTATTTTGATGTTTGGTGTCTGAGCTCTGCCACTTTTTATGTGGCCTTGAACAAGTTTTTTAATCTTTCTGAAATTTTACTTCCTCATTTATGAAAAGAGGAAAATAATAATACCTAACTTATAGAGTTTTGATGAACATTAAATGAGACACTGCATACAAAGTTCCTTAACAGGACCAGGTATATGGGAAGCATCCAATCAATGTCTGTTATTATTTTAATGTTGCTGTTGTTTCAATGGCTGGAAATCTGCACAAATGTAATAGCTTCATAGTCAGTAACTGCGGGATGATTCCATAAATCCCTGAATACGTAGAAGAACATGACGTAAGATGATTTTTAAGATAAATGGAATGAAATGTCAAGATTTGGTCTTCAGGACATTTTATGGTACGTATATGGTATGTAGTGATTTCTACTGCCTCTTGCAATAGAAATCAGTGGGAGGGTAATAGAATATGTCTTTAATGCTTGGAAGCTTTGTTTTTCCTTTATTTCTAAAATAGGCAGATATCTTCGATATTATTTTGTAGAACACAACTTATCTTGCAAGGATAAGTAGAAACAGGTCACGTAGTTTGCAAGATGAGTATTTTTCTTCTAAAAACCTATGGGTAACTTACAAGAGGAGGTATTCCAATATTCACGTCTCCTGTGTACCATTCAGTTTACAGTCTCCTGATTGCTATCTTGTGGTGAATTGTTCTGTTTATAGCTTTAAAATTGCTATCTGGGTGACAGTCTTCTGTTTCTAATCTTAAGATGGTTGTCTAGTGGCTTTGCTCCCCATGGTTTGTCATGCAGTTTTATAACACTGTGGAGGGAAATACAATTAGCTAACTATGCACCTGCTCAGCCTACAGATTTATGAGTGAAACTTGTATGATATACATCTTGGAGCTTGTGATGAAGGTGCTTGAAAATAGAGATTTTGTATGAAGTTCTGCAGTATGTAAAGATATATTTAATATTTTATATAATATAATATACTCTTTCTACATATTTGTAATATATATACATATATACACCCATATATATACATATATACACACATATATATATACATATATATATATGTATATATATGTGTAGTCAGCTCTCCATATGTACAGTCCTGCACTGGGAATCTGCAGACATGAAGAGCCAACTGTAAAAGACTTGAGCATGAGTGAGTCAATGTGTTTTCTTAAAGTATGCTCCCATCAGAACGAGGTTATCCACAGGGGTCCAGGAACCAATCCTATGCAGACACCAATGGGTGACTGCATGTATAGGTATATAGTTATAGATATGTATCTCCCCATAGGGCTTTTTAAAATTAAAGAATTGTGAATTCAGAAGTCTTGAATTTTAAAGCAAAACACAGTAGAATTTGAATTTTGATATTCCTTTTAGAATCTAATCTCCTATATACATTCTTATATATTTCATGGCTTCTCCATAATATTTCCCCTTCATCATCATCATCATTTTAAATGAAATTTTGACATTGAATCAGGATTGGATCCTATGCTATGAGTGTTTCAGAAAAAGCTTTCAGTAACCATTTAGCATGTAGTAAACCCTAGAACATTTACCAACTTATTTATAACTTAGGTACTTCATGTAGGATTTTACTTCTCATTAATATTAATGTATGCAATAACATTGCTGGAGGTAAGTGCAGTTATCTACAGTATTCTCTAATATATGTAGGGGACAAGTGATGCCTTTACCAAGCAGATTTATAACACATTGGAAAAGGGACACAATCAGTAGGCTCTCCATATGTTCATTTTTGAAAAAAAATCTTTTTACTTGTGATTGTATTGCATTTATCTTGTAAAACTCTATGCAATTACTAAGTATTATAACTACTATGAACTAGCATGGTGCCACTAGAAATTTCAAACATAACTTAAAGCATTAGGAACACAAGTTATTTCTCCCTCTTCCTCAGTCTGTCAGTGACTTAAAATGCATAGTACCCTGCCATATCTCAACCCGAATACTATGAAAGAACAGTGATTTCAGAAGAAAGGGTCAAAATATCCAAGGGAAGATATGTGGAAGTGATATCAGGAGGATCTTTATGAGAACTTCCTCTGATAGATCACGATGAAATTATGATTATTTCATCACGTCAGTTTTTGTCCACTGACACAGTTGACATCATATGTAATCAAATAATCACAGTAGTTTGAAAGAAGAATAGACTCTCTGAAGAGAAGTTATTGGAATCTTAAAATTCTTACACTTTTGAGGAATAAAGGAGTAATAAACAATATTACAAATAGAGAAGTTGTAGTAAGGAAATGCTGAGAGACGATCTTGTGCATGTCATCAGTGTCTCTGAAGTCACTGTCACACCATTCTGTGAGCTTACCTTAAGTCATAAATTAGTTGATTGACTATTTAAGGTCTCATCCCCCCCTCCCCCACTACAAGCATGGTGTTAACATTTGATATTCTTTATAACAAAAGATTTGCCAGGAACCATTTTTGGAAACTGAAATAAGGGCAGAAAGACAAAAATAAAATCTTAAACATATTAATGCTATTTGAATACAACCTACAAAATATTTTGTAGTTTTTTTTTATTCCTCAAAAAACAAAGCAACCACAGTTCATTAAGCATAGTGTGCACAGATGAGTAAGTCTGGACACATCAAAAGGCATATATGCTGAGCAGAAAGACAAAAATAAAATCTTAAACATATTAATGCTATTTGAATACAACCTACAAAATATTTTGTAGTTTTTTTTTTATTCCTCAAAAAACAAAGCAACCACTGTTCATTAAGCATAGTGTGCACAGATGAGTAAGTCTGGACACATCAAAAGGCATATATGCTGGATGCTAAAAACATATGGAACGTATCGCATTCCAAGCAACCAAAGTGTTTGGAGGAATAATTAGTGAGATTCATAAATATGGACAAAAATAAGCCCATTTTCACATCTTCAGATTATTAAATCCAAAATACATCTTCCTCTTCCCCGATTGGCTTTTCTTATAACAAATTTCTGACACAGAAGAGAGCATTATGAGATTCATAAATATGGACAAAAATAAGCCCATTTTCACATCTTCAGATTGTTAAATCCAAAACACATCTTCCTCTTCCCCGATTGGCTTTTCTTATAACAAATTTCTGACACAGAAGAGAGCATTTGTTTCATATTTTATTGAATTTCATTTATATTAAATTAAAAATATATTTCTGACAGATTCATGTAACAAAAAGGCAGAACAGTTTTCAAATTGTTCAGCTGGGATGATCGGTATGGAATGAGGCAAAGCAGTTCGCATTCTATAATTGCCTTGTACAGGTACAATTCTTTCCCAAGAGCCAAAAGAGGATCCTTGAGAACTAACTGAAAAGTCTAATTACATAAATTTAAAATACTGTGTCTCCCTCATTCTCAATTAACAACAGAAACTGGGGGAAAGAAGGAGAATGGGGTGAAGGATTAGAGGAAAAGAAAGAATAAGGGAAATTATACTAAAAATATACCTAACATTAAAAAAGTTAGTATGTGTTAAGTGCATAATCCTTCATAGATAAAATAGAAAAAAATTAAAATAACATTACACCACACACAATTGGCATATCCTATTGTGTAAGCGAGTGCAGAGGTTGAACACGTCACAATAGTGCTGAACACAGAATCACAAGTAATGTCAAAATGATAACTTCCAACCAAAAAAAGAAACAATCACAAGCCGATTACTTATATACAAATCAACCCTAAAGACAATTATGTTCCAAATAAAGATGTCCACAAAAGAAAATCAAAACAACATTATCCTTATTTACAAATGCAACTAGCCATGTCTTTAACAAGCTATAAAAATACTATTCACATTTTCCAACATACAGTAGTATTTTTTGTTTGCTTCAAAAAGGCAGCTAACTTTGAATACTGGGATTTCAATGAAACATTGATGGCTTACTAGCAAGGTGTTTTTGTACCCCTGTCCTTTGAAGATACTTCACAAGACAGAGGGCTTGTTTTCTGTTTACAAGTTAAGTAAATAAGGAAATGAATAGAAGTGTTTATAATACCTTAAGCCTCTGCCTTTTTGGTAAATTGTCCCTCTTTATCACCCGAATTGATTTTAGTAAATTACTTTGATGCTTTGATGAGATGAGTGTATGAGAGAAGATTTAATGTGACTTGTGGGTGGGTGTGGGTGTGTGCGCTATGAATTGTCTTGCACGTTGATCTCATTTTCATTTGATCTTGTTGTAATGATGCTCGAGAGAGAGGAACTAGACATACCTTGTGAAAATGCAGTTTCAACATGTGGCCGTGCAGTCCCTGTTGTTTACAACATGAGATGTAGACACATCAGCCAGTGAGATGCGCATTCAAAGTTAGCTGCCCACGCACAGCTGCTCAGTTTAATAATCGACCCATTTAACAGCAGTACCAGTTTATGCTACATATCTCAAAGTACCTTACTTTAAAAGAACAGCTTACATATCTACATTTAGAAAATAACTTTTGTAATTTATTACTGGAATAATCCCAGAAGGATTCTTGGAGTGCTATGGTTGTAGTCCCCTCAACTCCCCCCTCCCAGCCCCTGAGAGATCCAGAAATATACAGGAAAATGACTCGCACATTAAGGGAAAAGGTACAATCCCGCATTAATTGAAAAATCTGGAGATGATACTTGAAAACCATGTTTATGTCAATATATAGGAGGTATGATATGCTTTCCTTCAAAAGGGCTACAGGCCTGGGGAAACATCTACACATTAGGGATAAAAATAGCAGTAAAGGCAAAGTGGTCTGGACAAGTTAGACTATTGCCTACAGGTACAAAACTTGGTTTTCCTATATTTGTACAAATATAACCATTTCTCATGATATGGGAAAGCTCATGAGAACATTGAAAGAAAAAAGCATTTAAAGAGCAAAGTATAGAGAGAATGGTATTCTGTTAGACAACATGGATTTCCATTACAGTGAAACTGCACTCAGTTTATATTTGTTAAATGACAAATGATCCAAAAAAGAATTGCAGGTGGTTCTCAAAGCTGAATAGCCTTTACCTTTATGACAATAAGACTCCTTATCTGGGGGAAAAAGTTACAGCAGCTGTAAAATATTTGCTATCAGGAATAAAGTGAAATGAATAAAGTAAATAAGTTAATTTGCTGGCAAAAATGACTTCTCAGTTATATGTGAAGTTTTAATAGAAAGATTGAATCTAAGACCTACCAAGCGTTTGTGCACGTATGTGAGTTTCAAGATTCATCATGAGGATAACTCATCTCAAATTCCTTACAGAGAAAGACATAGAGAATCAATCTTCGTGGAAAACATAATTCTAATATTGTAAATTTTTTTCTATGCAATAATTTATTTGAGAAATATTTTAAACAATGCCCACATTGCTAGGATCTTCTATGGAAGAATCAGGCATTACAGGGCAAAGGCTAAGTCAGTATTTCACAAAGTGGGTGTGGGACCTCAGAAATTCACTATGGCTTAAGAGGAGACAGCATCAGGAGGGCCACTTCGAACTAGGGTGGTAGAAAGTGAAGAGAGGGAAAGAAATAAGCGTGCTATTTTCCTCTAAAATCCAGAAAGAAATGAATTTTTCTATAATTTCTACACGGTAATCATTCACTTGCAAAGCTGACAGTCAAAGAGTATTTTCCATGGCAAGCATGTGAATACCCCCATGAAAATGGAGCTTAGAGTCTCTTTGTCTTGAGACTAAAGCAGCATGTTCTTCTGCCCAAAATATCACCTGGCCTGCAATAAGGTGAGGCAGGGGTCTGCAAAAGTGACACATCCTACATTTTTGCAGCTCTACAAAATCAGTGGGGTTTGAAGAGCGTGTCTGAAATTTCTACTGTTTTAGAGAAACTTTTAACGAAAAGAACAAAACAGCCCATGTAAAAGATATCGGCCCATAGAAACACAGAGTTCCTGGCCTGACACAATGCCCACAACAGCTTCATGTTTGCAATTGCAGACAGAAATCCTCTTGCAAAGTCATCTCAGGGATCAGAAAAATTGAATTAATTCTACTCAGAAGTATAAAAGCTGGCCCCATTGTAATATCAGTAATAACAAGGTCTCCGCTGATGACGATCATTTAAAATTACACCTGATCTACATCTGAATGATGTCATTTGTTCTTAAGCAAATGGCAACTAGGAGATACCAATCTGCCCTTATGAGTCTACATGGATACAAGGCTGTCCTTCAACCTAACACACACCAAAGTCCACGTACACAAAGAGAGGCACAGCAGGATTCTCTGCCCATATGCAGTAGAAGTTAGTTACCTGGCTTTTTAACAACTAGAAGCTCATACATCTGGATTTTTCATTTGCCCCATAACAAATTATCGGTCTAATAACTAGAGTCCAAAAGAATACAATAGTTTGAAATGGTTTAGCATTTATTTATCAGAAAATTAACGAATTCCTTTTTGTTTTTGGAGGCGAGAGGGCATCATAGGAAAAGGAAGGGAAGGTCAGAGGTTAAATATATTTTGTTTGTTTGCTAAATGACACTACTTATTTTTTGTCTCATCATAAGGTAATAAAAGTTACATTTCCTTCATCTTGAAGACCTCTTACTTAAAGTCATATATAACATATTTTGCCTGTTAAACTCTACAAGGTGGTGTTTGCAAAACAAACTCAAAAAATACATAAAATTGCCTTTGCATACATTTAAAAAGTGATAAAGAAAGAAGAGAATAAGAAAATTTTTAATTTGTAATGCTTTAAAGCAAGTTTTCACAAGTGGAACGATATACGCCTACTTTCAGCTAAACCCAACAAATAACAATTTTAAATGGCAAACTTATTTTTTGGACTACACAAAATCCATTCTATATTTTCATATCCTTCATTTTATTTTGTTACATTACATTTTGTGGTTAGTTTCCTAGTTTGATTTATTGAACAATATTCAAATCATTTAATATTTGATAACCTAAGTCTACATCTTACAGTATTATCATGGTTCTGTCCAGTTATATACATGCTTTCATAATTACCTTTTCTATTACCTTATTAACCACATATACTAGTTAAATAATCAACAATTACAGATGGATGAATAATTCAAGTTTTGAAATAAAGGTTAGATAGCTCTAAAAAGAAAACTTGTATTTACATCCTTCCCTGTCAGGCTTAAACAATTTTAATTTTCTTTTCATTTTTGACACTTCAAGAAGCACATTGATAGTTCCTCCAATTTCATCTAGCAGCAGAGCCTCACAGTCCTTTTACTGATCTTTCCTTAGCATTAAAAATATGTACAATCTTCATGCTATGTCCTTCCTTTAGAAGGTATTAGCACACACATTACAACACTTCGAAGAACACTATTTCTTCTTTCAAGTTACAGATATTTAGTCATTCTTCCTGATTGATGAAGAAAGAATCTCTTATTTTTAGTTTGTACATTTTGAGAGAATTTGAGTTTTGCATTGTTTTTCATGCTATTTCAAGAATGTTACTGGAGAAAGGACTCTCTTCCTAACCTGTACTTACTAATATTATTCAGAACATCAAGAGATGATGGGTAACCCAAGCACCTCTTTGCGGTGCAGATGCTTTGTGTTGCTGGATCTACCCTGGTTTAGAGGACATCTTGTCTCACAGACTGTTTAAGAACTACTTTTTTAAACACCCATTTAGCTAAAGTTTTTCCATGCCTGAAAATAGAATTCCCCAAGACAACTATAATCTACAAAATTTGGTGATTTAAAAAATATAGTCAGTGTAATTTTACTATTAATTTTTCTCAAATTTACATTGATTCTGCATATTTCCATTCATACAACTGGCCTCTGGAAGGTGAAATTCCAAAGCCCTTTGCAGACTTGAACTGGCATTTTTAACATTTCTCTCTTCTGTATTAAATAAGTTATTCTTAGGAACAGACAAAACATTTTTTTCCCTCCTTCTTAAACACTCTCAGATATATTTTCCTAGGGGGACAAAAAAACCCCAGAAAACCAAAAAACACACCAAAACAATGGATATCAAATATATCCTACAGAAATCATTCAAAAGGAATAATAAAATGGTGCTATTGTGAAGTATTTTGGGTAATTTTGGATTATACTTGCATCCATCTCCAGGTATTAGTGGGAGATTATCTGACACATAAGAATCTTGTGTTCCTAAGAGGAAGGAGACCACATTCACTAAATATATTTCTATTATCTTGACATTTCAAAGTTTATTTTTTTCTTCTCCAAAATAAGTGGTTCTGCTTCCCATATCCCAGTAGAAACCATGTGAATACTGTCAATCAGGAAAAAGAAAAGCCATTTATAGAATTCAAAAAGGGTGCTGTCAGTGATGACTTGGTGCAGATTTATCTACAAAGGGAGGCTTGTATTCAATTTTTCATAAGTACTGATATGAGGTCCCCTTCTCCTGGAGACACTTCTGAACGGGTGGGAGAGCTCTGAGCTGTTAGGTTGGGGTTCCTGAATCATTCCGTGTTTTGAACCCTGGGAAGTTCATGGTTGAACTTCACTGTAAGGAATCCCACAACCCCCTACCCTGCTCTCTGTCACTCTTTCAGCTTGCCTAACTTTTAAAAGCTTAGGAAGAGACCAACCCCAATGCATCCAAGGTTCTCACCCAACCATCTCCTGTTGATTTAATGGTGAAGATGGAATCCAGACAGGCCAGTTAGCTACCAATGCGATATCTTTCCAGACCAGTTTATGTTTGGATGATAATACTGAAACTATCTTATTTGTCAACTTCAGTAACTTGAAGGATGTTTAATTCACGTCTGAAATGAGTTCACAGGAGATCTCTTACTAAACAACTGATTTTATAATAGCTACTCACAAAATAGTACGTGTAATCTGATTTTTTTAGGTCACAGGGAAATTAAAAAGTCATTCCAAATAAATCTCTTAGACTATAAATTTTGAAGTCCAGAATGATATTCCATTTGTCTGAATGTTCCCCACGTATCACAATTCTTTTAGTAGACTCTAAATAAACATCAGTTGAATAAATGAGATTTGAATGGATGGACATAATTTTTCAAAATAAGCAGAAACATACATTTCCTTGTTTTTTTTTTTTTTTTCCTCCAAACTCTCTCTGCTTTATCAATGGAGATTTTTAATCTGAATTTCTTTTAGGCTATAGACTCTAATTTGGTCCCATTATTTTAACATTAGAAAAAAATATTTTTTAAAAATCTAAATTACTTGGGGCAAAATTTCCTAGAAAAGAGAGACATATCTAATTTTTCTAATTATTGATGTGAAGTCTCTTTTCCTGTAGACTTATCCCTGTCATTTGTTCCCATCACTTATCTTAACTCAGTAGATATTTATTCTTTCAAAATAATACCTAGTAAAGAAGGTTCTAGAACTAGGATGCAGTGTGTGAAGAAAAAGAGTTATTATATAAAGCATCAAAAAGTTAGTATATTGAATAATAAAATAATTGCATGAGAAGATTTTTCACATTTATTTACAACTTTTGACCCAAGGACCTATCCATAAGTTGTGAATGTTTGTTTTTCTTTTTATTATAGCAATTCATGTGCAAAGAATTACCTTCTTAATATAAATAGTCTCATACTAGAAATTCCATGGAATTCAAGCTAATCCTTACTTGCATTCCTTCATATGGAGAATACAAACTGAACAATTTTATTTCATAGCAAATGTGATATCACACGTAGATAATGTGCTGGCTCTCTCACCATAATCCCTGGATACTATATCAAAGTCCTAATTTGCTTGGTTTGGCATTTCCACAGTCTTTCTTTATTTTAGCTCTTTTAAAAAAATGTACTTAAATTAGTTAATTTGCTGGTTGCTTTTATATTGCTTCATTCAAAATTCAAAATGGAGCTCAGAAAAAGAACAAATAAAATTATAGCTTAAGTGCAAACTACATTTCTCAGTGTCTGCCAGGTAGACATACCCAATCCAGTGTGTTTCTTCCAGTTCAATGGATTTTCCCATTGGACCACCCCTGAAAGTGTCAGTAGTTTCCTTGAACCACACAGAATTGTTTCAGTTTCTCTTCTACTTTTAAGATTACCAACTGCCTATCAAGTACTGTCATTTATGGAGGAGAAGAAAATGTTAAAGAATGCAAATAAAGGGGAGAGGGGGATGTTCAATAGTGTAAAACATGAAAGCTAGACTTGATGTTGTACTTGACTAATATCTTGGCCTCCCCTTCTCATTTTGTGGACTGTATATTTAACATAGTGGCCATTTCACCATATTAAAATATTGCTTGTTTAAATTCTGTCAAGAAGCTTCGATACAAACATCTTTGCAACTAGAAATTAAAGCCCAAAATAGGGAGAAACATAAAGGAACAGGCCGAAGCAAAATCAAATAGAAAAATAAAAGGCCTTCCAAACACAATTACTAGTTATAACTTTGATGGAGATTTAAAAGGTAAGGATTGGGAAAAGGAAAGCTGGGATTGGCCATTCTTACTTGCCAGGATAGAAAATGTTGGAGAAAGAAATGGAATTCTCAATCTCAGTTACTATCACATGTTATGGAAATGGTTATCCTTTTGTTCTCATGGACACTTTATTAAGATTTCCAGGGATGCTGAATATGCACACATCAGTTCCTGCAGATAGAAACAGGTTGCACGAGGATTTCAACCATCTGCATTAAAAAGAAAATGAAGAAGAAAGAAAAAAAGGAAGGAAGGAAGGAAGGAAGGAGGGAAGGAAGGAAGTTGAGAACTAGTTTGACAGCGGGCAGTATTGCCTTATATTTTCTGATCCTTCTCTAGCTGTTCCCTTCTCCTGACCAATCCATGCAGAGAAATGAAGAAACTGTGATTTCTCCTGTCTTTCTCTTTCAGTCATTCCTTCTAATGTTCAAGTTAGATAAGCACATAACTATCATTGCATCTCTATTATTTTCCACTGGGAAGTGTCAAAACTACTGGCCTTGGAAGTAGAAGGAAGACCACCAGAGAAAGAGAGGGGGTGGGGGAATTGGAGCGGGCGTGTCTCTCCACCTTAAAATCACAGCTGAGCTTACACCACAGTATTCCGGTGTCTGTAGGGTGGAGGAGGCAGCACAGTGCCTGGCTTCAGCGAGAACTCAGAGAGGTATTCAGGATTCTCTGCCACAATAGGCCGGATCCGTCCATTCTGCTTATAAAAATATTTTGTGCTGTACTCCTGCAGGTAGTCTGGGTGCTGAAGGGTGCTCCGAGGTGGCAGGCTGTGGTTCCAGTAGTCAGGGTTGTCAAATGCTTTCTTGGCCTTCTCTGGCACAGATAGTATGCTGTTCTTCAGGTACTCAGGGTTCCCCAAGGTGTTGGCAAAGGTGTTGAGGTACAGTGGCTCATTCACATACTCATCCTCTGCCTTGGGTGGACCACTGGAAGCCTTGTGATACTCAGGATTATCCAAAGCCTGAAGGTCTCCATTTTTTCTTCGAGAAACAAAAGGGTTTTCCTCCACAGGATTCAGGTATTCTGAAGGAATACAAAAATATCAGCTTGCATCTACTTTCTGGAAAATGTTCATCAAACCAAGGTTATGCACAATGGTTAACTTCTTTGTCTAGAACAAGAAAGCCACAAATTTGTTTTCATCAATTCTCACAAAAACTATTCGTGAATTGCTATCGCCATATGAAAAAGGAATAAGTGAGCCCAAAATGTTAATGATAAAACAAAGCACTAGCAAGGCTGGAACCAGAATTCTTATCCTGTAGATTGTTCTTCTTTCCTTCTAATTGCATTTGTCTGTTCTACATATGGGGCCAGTTGTTTAAACACTTTTGTTTTCTAAAAGTCAGTAATTTACATTAGAAAATAAGACTACCTATAAGGGTTGAATAGGCTTTAAATGTGGATAACTCAGAATTTTTGTTAAGAATATTGAAAAACCAAAGGTCTATGGCTTAACTCTATGCCAAGATGAATGGATAAAGTGAAGGAATATTGTCTTTTAGTCGCTCTCCAGAAAGAGGAGCAAAGGAAAGGAAGCATCCAAACAACAACAAAAAACTCAACTGATTAAACAAATCTGAGAGACATCTAACATGCCTCCAGCTGACCTGCTTGACATTACATATATCTCTGCTTAACAATAAAGTCTAATCATAACATTTATTTCTAGTCACCAATCATAATCACAAAATAGCAAACTAGTAGTTTGAATCATAGGAAATAGTTGCTTTGAGTGTTGAAACCAGACAATTAGTGCCTATTTTGTATTATTCAATCTTATAAATCTATCTAGTATAAATAGTAGCTTAAAATAAAAATAATGCTGATAATGAATGCTGATCTTCTCAAACTTAATTTCACCTCTATGTCTATAATATAAATTACATATAGATATTATACACATACATAGTAGTCCCTCTTTTTGTCCTCTTTTTTACGATGAACCTCATATATGACAGTGGCTCTACCATGTAGCCTAGGTGTGTAGTAGGCTATGCTATCTAGGTTTGTGTAAGTGCACTCTATGATGTTCACACAAAGACAAAATCACCAAACACCACATCTCTTAGAACGTGTCCCTGTTGTTAAGTGACACGTGACTGTATATGAATTACAGTTCAATAATTTACAAGACACTATCATTTCATCCTCACGACAATCCTTTGAAAAAGGAAGTGCAAGCCTTCTTTTCCCAGCTTCAGAGATAGAAAAATGACATATGCATGCTACAATTAGTGTTGGACCAGAATTCAGGTCTTCTGACTCCTATTGTATAATCTTGTTCTACTGCACTGTTTTTATTATTTCCCCTAAAGGAGTAAGGTGACCTTTAGGCTTAGTAACAAGTTTTAATTTGAAAAGTATATGAAAGAACTAATAAGGGAGGCAGAATCTGATTTTTCTTATCAGATTCTTGAAATTTCTTAATTGAAAGTGTAGAAATGACAATACTAAAATTCTGTACTGTCTGAGAACTAGGCTAGAATGTTACAACCTTCTATAGAAACTTGGATCTCAAGATATAGAGAAAAAATCTGGGAATACTGTACAGTGATTATATAGACTGACATTTTTTTTTTGTCTTAGAAGCCTTATATTACCTTTTCTCAATGCAATCTACTTATCTATTGTACTGATGTAAACTTGCCTATCTGTGCAATTATATTTGGAGGAATAACTTTATGGTTTATGTGACAATCTTAGAGAAGATACTGCTTTCAGGGGAATATGCCAAATCTTCACAAAACTTACATCTGTGTCACTACTGAGGCAGTATACACATCCAACTCTTCATTACATTAAAACTTTTACATATATATACACACACCTTTATGGTTTATGTGACAATCTTAGAGAAGATACTGCTTTCAGGGGAATATGTCAAATCTTCACAAAACTTACATCTGTGTCACTATTGAGGCAGTATACACATCCAACTCTTCATTACATTAAAACTTTTACATATATATACACACACATATATACAGATGTATTTTAATAGAATACTTAAAATATGTTACTTATAGATCTCTAAATTGTATTTTATAAAACTGAACATACCATATAGAAAAGAACATAAAAGGCCCTCATACTGACTCTTAAAATATAGTTTACTGTTGACACAGAAGACTCTGAGAGACATAATCATCATTTTTTAATAGTAATCATCCGTCTTCTCTGTTTTCTGATGTTGTTAGCATAGAAGAAAGAAGCTTTTTTTTTTTTTCAAAATTGAAACATTATTTGATTTGGATAGATACCATTTTTTGCTATTAACTTTACAAAGTCTTTGTAAAACCACAAACTATCATTTCAAGACTTGGTGGTATATGTTTAAGTAAATACGGGGTCAAAACTTTAATTTTTGTAAAGTGTTGTACAAGAAATCATAATTTTCTGTAATACACTAGGGTATTTAAATGACACCATCTTAATAAATCAATCAAATATTTTATTGGTGCCATCAAAAACTTCAGACACTTTTGCCAACAACACCAGTCTTTATGATCTCCACAGTAATAATGTACTAATAAAGCAATGGTTCTGAAATCTCGTGATATACTACCTCATTCAAATATTCCAGTAAAGATATGTTTAGTTTAGTGCTTCTCAAGTTTGATTGTGTGTAAGGATCCCCTGCAGATTTGCTAAAGTCCAGATTCCTATTCAGGTGGGCCTGACATTCTGGTTTCTATAAAGCACCTGGATAATGTGGATGCCGCTGATTTGGGGACTGCACTGCCAGTAGCAGCAGCCCAGACCTTCACTGGGTCACTACTGTTACATATTCCAGCTGTTTGGCAATTCCCACTCTACACTTTGCTTACTTTGGTGGAAGTGAATGTCAAAGAGCAATCATTTCTGCACATTCATGTGGTACCTTGTTTGGGTTTGTCTCGCATAGGAGTCATGTAACCTTCCTCATCCAGCTCTCCTCGTGGGTTCCGTTCTGGGGCAAACACTGTGGGGTCAGCGCTGTACCTCTGGGTGCTGCTGTCTTCTTGGGAATGGGGTGCCACTGGTTTGCGTAGGGTACCGTTACAGCAGGAGTCATCAAAAATCTCAGCTGTAGCACCCTGAGCAGCTGGAGCTTCTGGGATCGTGCTGGTCGTGGCTCTATAGGGCACGGATACTCCGTGTTCTGCAGCAAAACCCCCATCTCGATATACAAACTGGTTCTGTTAATAGTAGAAACACATTTGGAGAGAAGTTGTTAGGAACAGTTGCAAAAATGAATGCCAGTAACCAAAAGGGTATCAAAGCTTGTCTTTCAAAGAAAAGCCATAGTTTTTCTTATTTGTTTTCCTAGTGGCTAATGAATTTGAGTTATAGACTAGAAAAACCTACGATTTCTTAAAAAGTAAGATATAAGAGCCGGTCACGAAAAAAGACAAAAAGGAAAAAAAAAAAAAGTAAGTTATAAGAAATAATTTGGAAATATATATTTTAGTTTTACTGACCAATTAAAATATGATCTCTATTAAAACATCAAAATGTCATTATTAAAAAAGTATTTGATGTCCTTTTCCCACAATTGCCTATTTTTGATATAAAATTCCAAGTAAATTTTCATGACAAATGACAGTAGACATTCATAGACAGTTGCCATTAAAACAGAAGTACATGATACATTGTAAATGGTTATATTCCCTTGTTGCCTCCTATTTTGTAGTTATTATAACTTTGAGTCTTCAGTACCTAACTAGAAAATCATCACTGAGATTCTGACTTTTTAGCACATGACCTATAATCATGGAAGTAAAAATAACCTCCTCATCCAGAAGCATAATTTATGAGCCCAGGTAAATCCTTCAGATAGAAATTGAAAGCTACTGTTGATGCATGATACCTCAACATTGGATTATCTACTGAGATAAAACATATCTACAAAGGCAGCGCATGATCTACAGCAAATCTTAACTCACTGTTGGCAGAGGCAAAATGAGAAAATTATGGGGAGACAAGAGAGAAGAAACATGGCAAGCAAAGACCAAAAATCCTCGAAGATGAAGGTTGATTATGAAATACTTACTCCCGACATGGGGGTGTAGGCAGGAGGAGGGCTGTGTCCAATTTCACTCTAATAGAAAAGAAAAATGGGATGATGGATATAATAAGAGGCAACATGAATGAAAAATAAAAAAGAAAAGAAAAAGAAAAGCCACACGAATTGTATGAACCAAAGGGGAAAACGTGCACAACAGTGAAGTTTCCTCAATGGTAAAATTTTATGCATTCTGACCACTAACACATTTATCTATATGTTTTGAGGAAATTAAATATTTTAATTCAATTCCTAAAAAGGAAAATTATACAGAAAAAGTAAAATTTTTCAATGGGTTAAAAAATAAGTTTACAGTAAACATTCTTCTGATTAACCCTAGAAGAAAGAAAGAAAAAACAAAAACAGTAAATTATTAATGATTGTTGTAACTGAGGAACAGTTTCCTTGTGTAGATGTCAAGTTACTGAAATGGCCACATACTATAACATTAATTTTCTCCTTATAAAAAGAAACATGTCTAGAAGGAGATAGAAATGGATTTCAATTTGTCTGGAATAATTTTAGCTATCAAGTCACATTTATTTTCACTATTTTAGCAAAGGGTCAACTTCTTAGCCTCTCCTTATAAAAAGGTACAAAGTATTTTATCTTCACTCCTACTTTTTTTTTAAGTTAAGAAACAGCAGAAAATTTGGAAAATCAATTCCTTTCCTGAAAAGATTCCTTTACGTATTTAGAATGAGTCAAAACCAGATTTCAGTTAAAAACAAAAAGACATTTTTATAGCTTAATATTCCATCCTATGGGCTAAGTGAAAGTGGATATAAAATATGATAAAATATTAAGGACAGTATTCCTTAGGGTAAGAGAAGGCATTGTATGAATACCAACTCTGTTCCTTAATAAAAAATTCATTAAACACATACCTGGAGAATGTACTGTCTATGTGTCTGACACTTTTCTAGGCACTGGGCATAATGAATAATGCAGACAGAAATAGCTGATTTTATGAAGCTTGCATTCTCTACATTCTGGCTTTAAGTGAACAGAGATGACTAAAATAAGCCTCCAAGACACATCTTGTATATGAAACATTGCTAAATATTATTCCAGGTCAGTGTTCATACAATTTAGAGATTCATAAAACAATCTAAGGGTCGGCCCCGTGGCTCACTCGAGAGAGTGCGGCGCTGGGAGCACCAAGGCCGTGGGTTCGGATCCTATATAGGGATGGCCGGTGTGCTCACTGGCTGAGCATGGTGCAGACCACACCATGCCAGGGGTTGCGATCTCCTTACCGGTCAAAAAAAAAAACCAAAAAACAATCTAAGAAGAATTTGGCTCCATGGTGATTAACTGTTTAATGTAAATCAATAACAAGTGGATAATACAATTTCCCTTAACTTAGTTTGTTGGACTAATCGAGGGACAAGTTCTAACCCCCTATAGTGAGTTTAAGCTTTAGCTCCCTGACAGCTATAGTATCATAGAGAATATTTATCTAGTTCCTTCTCTAGTAACGTAACTAAGAACACATTTAAGGTTATGACATGAAATTTAGAGATATATTTAATATGCAACGCATAGGTGGTATTGTACAATAGACAGATGGTTTCATGACATATTAGAATTCCTGAGCTCCAGACCCAATTAGAAGTGGTATGAATTTGGTCAATCATGAAACCATGTCACACCCTCATTTTGGTTCTTGACCTCTCAATTCTTACTGAAGATAAAGTGAGATAATGTATATTAATGAATGTTGTAATTTCTGCACTATTATATAACTGTAGAGGACATGTAAAATTTAAGTATTTGCATCTGCTAAATTTATTTTTTAAAGTCAAGCAATCGAGATGCCAAAGCTACTCATCAAAGAGACATTCCTAAATTCTACCTGTTCTCAAATTATCTTAAATGTACGCATATTTTGCTATCCTTTAGAGAGACATGTAATTCAGTATATTTGTTCCTAAAATTTTAGAAAAATTTTCAGTATAGTCCAGTGATTTGTAAAATAGAGAGATGATACAAGAAATACATCTACTTAGTGGAACTTTATCATATTACAAACCCGGTCATATCCGCATCATTAAATCCCTATTATTAAGCCTGTAGGTTTTTATTTAACAAGTACCAAACATATAGATCTATTAAATCTCTAGAATGAAAGCACAGGAACTGTGGGTAGATGCTGGAGATACCATGATACATTGGGAGAGATACGGCCACTGGCCTTTTGGAATTTATACTGTCCTATCAAATACTACCAGAGATTATTAGAAGAAAAGGCAAGTGTGCAATTAGGCTGGAGTGAATTTATTTCCATCCTATTATTATATATTAGAAGGCAAGGAATTCCAAAATATTAGTAATTATCAGTGTTCCTTTGAGCTCTTACCCTGCAAGAGTTGTTGTACTGGGTGGTGTTCGACTAGAATCACAGCTGAGGAACTAGTATTGATTGCACATTTTGTGTTTATAATAAAACTTGAAAGATAAATGATCAAAGGAATAACTCACAAGTCATTCCTCATCAGGAAGCAGTTTATATCTATATTCATTATCTGGGCTAGAATGCCTTCAAGTATAAAGGTGTTGTATTTAAAGTAAGTGGATCTCTTGCAGTTAATCTATTCCAAGACATGAAGCAAGGCTATGCCCTATTAGAATGCATCCACTGTCCGTGCTCTGACAAGACTCTCAGTCAGCAGCCTGCCAACTCACTATCTGGACATACTGCCAAATAGCATCACAGTAATGGGAACGTCTTCAAGCTTTTCTCTGTTTTCAGCATTAAAATTGAAAAAATGCTAAGCAAAACCCCTTTAGCATTCATCGTTTTTAGGGTTACTGGCTGCTTTTTATGTTCCTGTTTCCATTTTTTCGGTTTGCTTTTTTATCTGTTTTCCATGATAAAAAGCACCTCATTCATTTCCCCCTGGAAGGGCAATGCAGCTCCAAGGGAACATCTGTGAGGCCAATTAGCTGGGCTGGAAATGTGATATAATTGTTGTTTAAATATATTTAAATTACATGTTAATCACTATGTCATAATTTATAGGCTTTGAAAATAACTTTTTGTACTTCAGAGCCAAGCCAGATTTTACTTGTTTTTGCTGTTTTTAGTTTGCAACAAGCTCTTCTCGTTCCTTTTTCCCTCGATTCCCCCCAGTTGAAGAGCTGAACTTTTAATATTGGAAAGAAGGACAGCTGCAAGTAAATTGGTTGAGTAAAAATGAAGATGCTCTCAGCAGTCAGAATGAGCTGGAGTGACCTTAGAGTTCTAAGCAGAACAAAGCACTACTCTCAGTTAAAAGGCTTTTGTTTTTCTCTCGTGCCACTTTCTGCTGTCCATCAAAGCCCAGCTTTGTGGGTCTTTAGGAAGCAGCACTGGGTGCATCTGTTCAATTAGCTGGTGAGGGGATTTACTGTCAGCAGGACAGAGAAAGAGGTGGGTTATGAACTGGCAGGTGATATGGAGTTTGTTCCTGGTGGGGGGATTTGCAAGGGCGATGGATAGAGTCGAGTTTAATTTTGAGGCCCTATCACTGGGATATTGTATGATTAACTTGGACTCAAATGTCAGAGGGTATAGAGAAGGCAAGTGTCAGTAAATACAACAAATACAGTGTTAAATGCACTTTTAAATACACCAAGCCTTAAAATTTACTTTTTAGTTGAATGATAAATATTTGAACATTTGTTTCAATACATGCACAGAATTTCTTATATTTGTATTGTTTAATATTGTTCCTGATAAATTTTAAATTGTTAAGCAGATGGACTGTGTCCTGTGATATTTTTTAAAGTTATTATACAAATTTATCTTCTAAGGAAAAAAAAAAGAAATACATGCCTGATGCTTAACTTCTGTCAAAATTAAACATGTGCTTAACAAAAGAGTTTTATTTTCTTAATTTTTAATTATTACTCTCAATAGTAACTATAGGATTACAGTTTCTAGGGTCAAGAAATACTTCCATTCCTTTTAACTAAGATAGAATGTATTTCCACAAGACATTGCTAATCCAGCAGCACTAATTTATTATCTAGACACTTCCACATAGTAACTATTAAGGATTCTCAACCTTCTATCCTCCCTGTCATACACGCATAACACTCTGATGGGCATTTCCACATCTTCACAGTTCTAATAGAAGCACAGAGAAAATGTTTTTGCATTATCTGCAATTCCTGATGCATAGCTGTAACTATCTTTTCCACAACTGAGTTCAACATACCAGTGTTTTGAAACATCTAGGTTTAGAATCTTCAACCTTCATAGGGCAACCAGAAGAAAACAATCAAAATATGTATACATGTGGCAAATGGTAATAAAGTCTGGGGAAAGCCTGTTGAGACTTCAGCAGCTGAGTTAAATATATATATATATTTGTATATACTTATATATAGATACACTTATATATATACATAATATATGGTGTTTTTGTCTACTTATGAATGTATTAATTTATTAGTTTACTCATTCATCTATTTGGTTTGATTATGTGGGACTCTGCTTTTTTTAAAGAAACTCTTTTACTTTGTATGCACAAACACATACATATACACATGTACACACATACACAAATACTAATGATCCTATGATCCAGCTGAAGGAATACTTACTTAGGCTCTCATTCTTTATTCACTTTTCACTAAACTTGGAACCTTTAATCTTTCTTATATGTCTCATCTACTCAATGACTAAAAGGATTTCTAGTAAAGGCGGTCGTGAATGGTAAATATAAATGAAAGTCAATACAGAAATTACAGAGTATATTCACAAAGTATATGAAATTGTTGTTTTTTTATAAACATTAGTAACTCTGCCTTTCTTAAGTCAGTCCTCAAAGTCTACTTAATTATAATGTCAGTTCCATTTTATAGTTGGAACGTAGGATACTCTTAGGGAAATTGAGAAATAAGAAGGGAAAATAATATATAGCATGTACCTATCATATACCATGATCTATGTTAGGTTTTGTTTATTCTCACAACCTTGCAAAGTAAATATGATTATTAGAAATTACAATTCCCATTGTACAGATGAGAAAATTGAGGATCACAGA